ATATATATATATAAAGAAACAACTAGTGTTATAGTCATAATGTCGTTAGCACAGGATTGTTAATCGCACTAGCTCAACATCAACACGAAACACTAAAAATAAATAAACTATTTTTTAATAATAAAAAGACCATGAATAATATTTGACAAAGAAATTTTGTTGAAAAACCACAAATCGACCACGGTTTTCATGATACATTTGTGGCTAGGAAAATCGGACTCATCCAAGATCTTTTTTCAGCTACATGGAACTATTTCCATCAGATATTTTTCCCAACACAAGTACTTTACCTTTCCAATCCATGTGTCCACACATGACATATCCCACTCAACTTGTCCCTTCAAGGCTCAAGCTCAACCACGAAACACCAATCCTCAACACTTCTATTCAGTTTTACCCTCTAAACCACAACTCCAGGATCTCCTTCAAAATCCTAACTTTCTTGGAAACCTTTTGTGGAGAGATTATTTTGGTTTAAACTTTAATTTCAGAGTTGATGGCTTGTGCATTGCAAGCAACCTTAGCAGCCAACACTTGTGCCTTTTCTTCCAGGAGATTCTCCTTGAAGCACCAAAACACCAGTAAGAGAAGGTTTTGTTTGTTCACTGTTAGAGCTGCCTCTGATGACCCTGACTGCAATGAGGAAGAATGTGCCCCGGATAAGGAAGTGAGTTCATTAGTTTCTTGACCAATTTGGAGTTTGTGAGGGGTGTTTTGTTCTATTTAATTTGCTTGTTGTGCCTTAGAAATGAAGGGGAAATATGAGAAATGAAAAATGGGACCATGGGAATATAATATTGAAGAATAAGTTCCCTTTGAGTATTTCAATTACATGTTATGTCTTAGTATATTGTTGTTCTGCATATAGATCCCCGAGGAGAAATTAGGAGGAAGAATTTGGTTGTGCTTATTAGTTTTGGACTTTTTGTCAATTTGAGGCCACACAAAATGTTTTTTCAGCTGAGAGTTAGGTTTTTGAATAATTTAAGGTAGTGTTTGTGAAATGTTACCATAATTTATGGTCTAGACTGGCATGACATAGTCTGAGAAGGATCATTGTCATTAGATCTATGCTGGGGACACAACTCTCATTGCACAACATGTCAAGTTTAGCTTCAAATTTTTTTATATGCATATTTCTGAAATGCCAGCATCTATAATTTTGTAATTGACATTTTGTATATTGCCTTCAACATGAATATTGTATTTTTGTCCTTTTTTTGTACGTTACTACCTATAGTCATAATTATAACTTATAAGCAACATGGGTCAAATAATCGAGACCAAGAAAAGTCATTAACATGGTTACTTTTAATTAATTCTATCATAAATTCAAGTTTTGTTCTAAACATCCCCTTTATTTTAAGTAATTGTTATATTTAATGTTAGTTACAGGTGAATGCATAGGAATTAGAGTTAACAATAAATGAAAGGTATAAAAAAATTAAATCTTGATAACTTTAAAAACTGATGATTATTATTTATAATTAAGACTAAAGAAAAGTATAATTTGTTATTTATAATTAGGAAAAAAGGTAGTACTATAGATGCAAACAAATGATTCATTCTGAAATTAGGGAAGTTTTTTTTGTGCTCAATGGTCAATGGAAATTCTGTGAATTAGCTTAGTTGTGACTCGTGACTAAAATAAATGATGTATTAAAAAAATCCAAGTCTAATATAAATTGGCTAGAGATAGCTAGAGTCAAAATATATGTATAAATAGAGAGAAATTCTCACCTTACTAGTTACAAATTTATTTTATAAGGTTGAATTAGACACTTAGACCTAAACCTACATTCTAAGATGATTGTGATTTGTGAACAATGGATTTTACAAAAGTTGTCTCTCGAAAACTACTATTTTAGGGGAATTATGTGCGTCCAGAGATGTATGCAATGATATGTAGGACAATTTAGAAATTCCACTTTATGTCACCGAGCCTTTCTATGTGAAACACATTTATGTGTTAATGAAATTTGCAGTTCAGTTTCACCTGAATCGAATGTGCTTCCAATTATTATACCATTTCATCTTCTGCCTGACTTTCTAATCAAGATGACCTGCAATAATTCATGCATTAGTGAAAGATGAAAGCTACATCTTCGATGCATTTATCACTTTATCTTCCTCCTTTATTCACAGACAAAGGATGCTAATCCTCTGTTGATGTTGATTTAGGTAGGGAAGGTCAGTATGGAATGGTTAGCTGGGGATAAGACTAAAGTAGTCGGTACATACCCACCTCGTCGAAAGCCGGGTTGGACTGGTTATGTTGAGAAAGACACTGCTGGACAGACAAACATATATTCAGTTGAGGTCAGTATTTTCCAATTTTAACTAATTCAAGGCCTTTTATTTTGTTGAATTTTAATGTTTATTTTGAAGCATGCAAACCCTGGTAGTGTGATAACTGATAAGAGATTATTAATTAGGTAATCATGAATATATTGTTAGTGTTATATATCGAATGTCAAATCGAAGAATTCCTGTTCTTAGAATTTGGGTTTAGGCCTAACTAAACTCTGAAAGCTAACTCAATTGTCCCTCACTTATATACACTATTTAGTCACATATTACTAATTAATGTAGGATCTTCAACACATGGTAACATAAACTTGTTCTTAACATAAACCAATGAGAAGTATGATCAATTTGTCTAACACACTATGGCCTTTTCCAGCCAGCAGTTTATGTGGCAGAAAGTGCTATAAGTTCAGGAACTGCCGGCTCTTCTTCTGATGGTGCCGAGAACACGGCTGCGATTGTTGCCGGCCTTGCCCTGATCTCAGTTGCCGCAGCGTCCTCAGTATTGCTACAAGTTGGTAAGAATGCTCCTCCTCAGATCCAGACAGCTCAATACTCTGGACCATCACTTACTTACTACATCAACAAGTTCAAGCCACCAGAAATTATTGAAGCATCCGTGCCGAGTGAGGCAGAACTATCATCACCAGTTAAACCTGAAAGTTCTTCTTCAGAAGTTTCCCAGGTTCAGGTTGAAGCTGAGGTTCAGCTCGAGACAGCAAGTGTCAACATTGGGTCGTAGGTGTATCACGTGGTTACAACTTTTGCTACGAAAACATAGCAAAGAAGTTTATTTTGTGTCTATAGTATGAGTCATTGTATACATAACTAAAGCTTAGTGAATGCAAATGTTTTGGTTAAATATCATTCTTGGTATGCTGGTGCCGCCAAGTACTAACTGAAAGTGTGTTTATCTTTTGCACGGGAAAGTAATGATCTTAGTTTCTGTTTTACATAATCCTCCAAATAGTGAAACCACATTGGAAAATATATAATGTTCTATTGGTTCCTAAGGTTTTTTTGAGGCATATTTAAGATGCTTATTCATGTGTTCACTAATGCATAATTCATGCAGCATGTTTGGCTACTTCCTAAATTTGCTCATGAAGGGGATTTTGTAGAAAAACAATCATGTTTGGTTGTAATCAAGTTTATTTCGAAAATTCTGTATGACTAGAAATAGAAAAAACAATGTACATTATGTGTGTTGGGTAGAAATATATTCTTATAAATTTGAATATATATACTTAGGGTGTTTAATATATATGATTTTTTAAAGTTTAAATATGTTTTTAGTTCTATAAATAAGAAGGAAATATGTTTTGGTCTATTTCTCAATTCAAATGTCGATAGTGAATTTCTGAAATAAAGTTTAAATTCTAATGGTTAACTTATATTTTATCTTTTTCACTTTTCAATTAATTATTAAAATAATTTTTTTAATTTTGTTTTTACATAAGGCTTGATTTTATTATTCCTTTTTCTTTTTCTTTTGTTTATATGCTTCTACTCATGCATGTATGGCGTTGTAATAAAATGTACAATATGAAAAAAAAAAGTAATTGAAACTAAAAATAATATAATTAAAATAATTGATCTTTAAATTCATATTTTATTAGTCATAATAAATATTTTATACATCAAGTAAAATATTATTAGATGTAATTAACTAATCAAATAAGTAATATATTCTTTAATTTTAAGTTTTGAGAGCATATTTTCAAATCCTTTATAGGGTAAGTCAAATTTCATGAATGTGTTAATTTTATATATTTGCAAAATATTGATTATAAAATCATTTCATTGGAATATTAATTGTTTAAAAGATTATTATTTTTAGTTTAAAAGGAGTATCAAGAGCACATTCTAACACCAATAAACCAACATTATGATTCCTAAAGTGCCATGTAATAGCAAGTTAGTCTCTAAAAGGATTGAAATTATAAATTAGTTTCATAATATGTATTTCGTTAGTCAATTTAGTTCAACATTAATGAATATTAATGACGGTGTTAATCATGATAAGATGTATATTAAGAATTTATTTATTTTTAAGGGATCGTTTATTTAAGCTAAAAAAAGAAGTGTTTTTAAAAATATAAAAAAAAAGTCTTCAAGAAGATAGGAGTAATAGTTTCTTAAAAAGAATTAGATAAACACATCAAAAAGTAAAAAATATGCGTATTCTTTTCTTTAAAAAAGAACTGTTATATATAAAAGAAAAAGTTTAAACAAATGGATTCTATGTATCTTGTCATATTCTTTTTGGTTCACCACGTGGCACCCACGTTAGTAGAAACCAAAACAAAATTTCTAAGGACTTTCAAAACCAAAATGACATTAACAAAATTATCTTTTTTAATTTTCTTTCTTGTTTCCATATCAACAAATTATAATAAAATTAAAATGAAACTAAAATGAAACATTTAAGATCCAAATAAAAAAGTAATAATATCTTAATTACTTTTTTTTTTCTCACCTATTGTCTTTATAAGTTTATAACATCTCAATCTTTACTAGTCCTTGTCTAATATTATAGTTGATGGACAAAAGTGGGCTATAACGGAATAATTTTACAATGAAGAAACTGTCAAGAAATTCTACGCTAACGCATTTCCAATGAAGCAGACAAAGGCAATTCGGTGTACTTGGCACTATAAATATTTGTCATGAAGTGATACTCACTTTATAGTGATATAATAATTGTCACTAAAATCTATTTTTATACTATAAATATAATATACATTGGTATATTGTTAAAAAGTATTGGTATAAGCTATACTGTCAAAATCAACATTAAAATTATGTATAGTTATATATCAAATAAATTTATACTTACATATATTATATAAATAGTGACACTTTTTGTATATTATTGTATATAACATTTCTTGTAGTGTGGATTCGACATGAGGTAATTGAATATGATAGAGACTCAATCAACACTTACTTAGGTGAACCCTCCACACTTCTTGAGATTGGTATTGACATGCACCAGGGACGTGGAGAATTTGATGGAGATAAGAATACTTAATTGCTTTGCGGACTAGGTCACACATATGAGCTGATTAAGAGGTCAAGCATGAAGAAACTTGATAGGGGAAAATCTAACACTAACAACTGAATAAAAGAGTAATAAAACAAAAATTAAATCTTCTTACTTCCAAGAATCAGTGACGAACACCAATAAAAATAAAAGCAAAAATAGATAAGCACAAAAGATATAGATTTTTAACATGCAAAACCTTTCAATGTAGTGTAAAAATCATGAGTCATTTGTTAGTTGTCATTTTTACTTGAATTTCATGAATATTATTGTGTAAAATTGGCATTCTTTCATTTTTTTTCCCTTATAAATTGCCCAAGGATGTGAATATTATATATAGATATGTAAATTATGTTATAGAAATTCAACTCAATCAAATTATAGTAAACTTTTGTTAATTATGGTGTTTTTGCTTTGTAGGTTAAGAGAAAAGAAATCAAGACCAAAAAAAAAAATTGAAGTTCAAAAAGATTCGTGGAAGAAAATATGTTTATCTCTATTAACTCAACAAGGCTTAAGCTATACCAGAAGGGCTTAAGTCATTAAGCTTAAGCCTTTTTAATTTTCTTCTGGTGAAGAATTTTAAAAAATGCTTAAGCCATTTTAATTTCTTCATGGTGAAATATTTAAAAAAGGCTTGAGCCATTCAGAAATAGCTTAAGCCAATTTGTAGTAGTAAATAATCTCTTGTTACAAATCAAAACATATAAAGGGGTGAAAGGAACAAGACAATGGAGCTTTTTAGAGAACGACACACCTCAACCATCACACTCTCTCTCTAGCCTCAAAGACCATCCAAGTTGAAAATTTTAGTGGTGATTCCGACGTTTTGGGAACGGGACGACGACAATTTCTACTAGATTTTTCTTCTTCCCTTTTATTGTTGGTTGGATCTCATGGAAATGAGTAGCTAATCTTTTCCTTTTGGGATTGGATGTAATCGATTTCACCTTGATGTAACTCTTGATTTTCACATATATGTTATGATCTCTTCTACTTATTAGTGATTCATTTTTGTTCTTAATGCCTTTATGTTTTGATCGCTCATATTTGAAACTTTGATTTATAACTCAATTGAAAAATGTTTTCAAGATCATGAATTAAAGAATCACCTAATGATTTAAGTTGCTAGGAATAGAGCTAAAATCATTAGTTTTTAAAGGATTTTCTTAATGTAGATTTTCCTTTATTTAAATATGCAAAGAATTGATATTTAAGGGAAAAACTTAGAATCTCTCTACTAAGAAATTAGTATTGAGTGATTGTAATCCCAGATAATATTATAGGAGAGTAATTAACACATGTATACTTATTAAGATTACAAAAAGGTGTAGTAGGTGAAATCCAGTCCCAAGCATCTCATATCTAAATTTCTCTAATACTTATTTGCATATTTGTCACTTGTTTTAAGTTTTATTAATTTTAACTTTGAGTTTAATGAATCAAATGTTGAACATGTGTGAATAATATATATATATATATATATATATATATATATATATATTTGCC